TCGTAGTCGTAGTCGTAAGTAAAGTAAGTAGTTGTAGTAGTAGTAGTAGTAGTATAAGTAGTAGTAGTAGTAGTATAGTAGTAGTAGTAGTAAAAGTAGTAGGAGTAGTAATAGTATAGTAGAGTAGCTAGTAGTAGTAGTAGTAGTAGTAGTCTAGTAGTACGTAGTAGTAGTAGTAGTAGTAGTAGTAGTAGTAGTAGTAGTAGTAGTAGTAGTAGCAGTAAGTAGTAGTAGTATAAGTAGGTCGTAGTAAGTAAGTAGTAGTAGTAGTAGTAGTAGTAGTAGTAGTAGTAGTAGTAGTAGTAGTAGTAGTAGTAGGTAGTAGTAGTAGTAGTAGTAGTAGTAGTAGTAGTAGTAGTAGTAGTAGTAGTAGTAGTAGTAGTAGTAGTAGTATGATACTGTAGTTTTGTAGTACGGCGGTGGTCTGCTACTTGCACCCAGATGCCTTAGGAAGTCCACAGAGACGCTTCAAGAGGCCCCTTATATAACGTCTCTCAGAAGCCCTCGACAGGCCTCCCAAGAGACCCCAAGAAGCCTCTGAGAGGAGCTCTTTGCCCACGACCCAGGGACGGTGGTGCGTTTAATTTCCCGAAAACGCCCAAGTCCTCGAGGGCCTCCCTAGAGCCTCCCAGAAACTCGCAACAGCTTCAACATACTCGAATGGCCACCCAAGGTTTCCCAAGACTTCCCCGAAAGCCTGTAAATGCGCCAAAACAAAGGCCGGCAAAACAGCACGCAAGCAACACCCCCCTGCACCATTACCCCCTCTCCCAAAGAAAAACCGCAAGCAAGCAGGCGGCCGGCAAGGCCCTTGAGCTTTCAAGACTGAGTGGCCTCCCCGATGCTGTGGGAGTGGCAACTACGCGGTGCAAGCTACGCGGTACAAAGCATGTCGGATAAGCAATCAACAGTGGGGGTGAACATTATGCGGCGCATGCTATGCGCTGCAAACCACTTCGACTGTCTTGAAGCTGTCCTCTCCACTGCTCGTGCAATCATCCCACCCTCCCACCCGCAACTTGGTCGCAAGACATCTTCAGACAAAACCGTGACGGTAGGTACTGCGTGGCACTTGGCCAAGACACCGATGCCGACGACGACAGCGACATCGACGACGACGGCGCCGCCGACAGCGACTGCGACGACACCGACGACGTCTCCAATGTTTTCGACGACGACAACGACGACGACGACACCGACGACGACGACAACGACGCCGACGACGACGACGAAGACGACGACGACGTCGCCAACGGAGACGACGACGAGGGAGGAGAAAAAACGACGACGGCGACAACGACGACAACGACGATGGAGGAGGGAAGACGGCGACGACGCCAACGACGAAGAAGGAGGAAGGACGGCGACGCCGACGACGACAACGACGAGGGAGGAGGGAAGACGACGACGATGACAACGACGACGAAGACGACGACGACGGCGACGAAATAGAAGGGACGACGACGAGACGCCGACGACGGACGACGACGACGAGGGAGGAGGATAACGACGAGGGAGGAGTGAAGACCACGACGACGACGACGACGACGACGACGGCGACGAAATAGGAGGGACAACGACGAGACGCCGACGAAGACAACGAGGGAGGAAGGACGACCACGGCGACAACGACGACGGAAACGACGACGACGCCAAAGACGACGAGGAAAGACAGAAGACGACGACGGCGACGACGACGACGACGACGACGAGGGAGGAGGGAGGACGACGACGACGACGACGACGCAAGAGCGCGCGCGCACAATTTTGTTGAAAACCCGTGTTGCGAAACCTTGTGTTTTTGTATGTTTTTTGGACGCACGATTTCGACATTCTTCCGAAACCAAAGGTTTTTGAAGGATTTCGGCATACGCCCGCGACGACGCGCGCGTCTGCACTTCGTCCCGTTTTTTGCAGAGGATTCTCGCGACGGCACACGCGCAAGAGCGTTCGACAGATTTCGACATGCGCGCGCGCGAAGCCCGTTTGGTAGCATTTTGTGAAAATCTTGGAAAACCCATGGTTTTGTTAAGATTTCGCAAGAGCTCGCGCGTAAATTTTGTTTTGAATCAGTGTTGCGGAAAACCATGTGTTTTTATATGTTTTTGGAAATTCAATTTTGAAATCTCTCCGGAACCGAAAGTTTTTTAAGGATTTCGGCATGCGCGCGCCACGACGCGCGCGTGTGCACTTCGTCCCATTTGTTGCAATGGATTCGTGAAAAAATGATATGTTTGAACAAAACATGTCACCGCATAGTGTTTTTTACAAGGGAACCGCAGGGGGGGGGAACCCGGCTTGGCTGGAATGGTACGAATTCATATTTAGGATGGACATGTGGTCAGAATCATATGTAATTTACAGCACGCGCGGGGGGGCCGATAAGTCCGGGGGGGGGGGGGTAGAATCTATTAGTCTTTTAGAACAGAGAATCCACGTCGTGTGAGCTGGGCGGTGTGAGCTGGAGGTGGGAAATAGAGGATGCAAGATATGTGATATAAGCTGTGCGGTGTAATGTGTGCGGTGCAAGCTACGTGGTGTAAGCTACGTGGCGAATCGCACCAATGCTCACAATGAGTTGTCACCTCCGATGCTCGCGCAATCACCCCACCCGCCCACCCACAACTTGGTTTGCAGAACCCAAGCGACGGCGATCGCGATGAGTGCTTAGCGTTGGCTGGTGCATCTTTGGGGCCGCGCTACCCCGCGCATGTTCGCGCGCGCTGCGACCAGCTAGTGCGGCGCGACCGACGCGGCCGCGAAAACGCTAACCGCTGGACATTCCCCAGCGGCCACTTCAACGCAAATCGGTGATTTCGGCGGGTGCAGTATTATGGCGACGCCGACAACGGTAGACACGATGATGAGAGTAGCGATGATGGCGGCGATGGTGGCGATGACGAGGGCAAGGCCAATGACGGCGCCGATGTTGATCACGCCCGCCGATAATGATGACAATGTCTTCGCGTCGGTGATGCAGGTCCTGGAACAAGTTCGCATGCGCGCGCGGCCGCCGCCGCGTGGTAATAATTGACACGGATCGTGCCCCCCCCCCCCCCCACAGCACGCGCGCAAGGGCGTTCGGATGAGTTCGACATGCGGCGCGGGAGGCCCGTTTGACAGAATTTGCTGACACTGCTGAAAAGATTACTGTCTTAAGAATTCGCACAAACGCGAGCGCAGGCGTTTTTGAAACATGCGGTTGCAAAACCATGTGCTGCTTACATGATTTCGAAACACTAACTTTGAATTCCGTACGCAACACAAGGTTTTGAAAGATTCCCGCATGCGCGCGCGACGACGCGCGCGTGTGCACTTCGATCCTGTGTTGGCAAGTGATTATTGCGAAAGCACGCGCGCAAGGGCGTTCAAAACATGAGCGCGCACGAAGCCCATGTGGTAGCAGGTTTTAAACATCTTGCAACAAATCGCAGGATGCGAGCGCGAGCCTTTTTTGAAAATTTGCGTTGCGAAACCATGTGTCCTTATATCTTTCCGGACACTAAATTTCCAAATCCTTGCGAAACCGACGGTTTTGAGGGATGTCGCAATGCGCGCGCGACGGCGCGCGCGTGCGCAATTCATCTCGTCTTTTACAAGGGACTATTGAACACGGGTGATTTTTGATAAACGATTGCGCGCGCAACATATTTTTTGCACAGGCTGAGGGGGGAACTGTTGCTCGCCTGCACGGGATAGTGTGATGGAGCAGAATCATATGTAAATGGCAGTGCGGGAAGGGGGGCGGTTGAATTCGGGGAGGGGTAGATCCGACTACTCTTTTAGAACGGGAAATCTCTGTCGCGTAATCTCAGAACACGGGGCGCCCATGAGGCGGCGCGGGCGGCAACGTGGCGCAAATCCGACATACCCCCCAAGCGCGGGGAGCCCACGAGGCGACACGGGCTGCAACGTGGCATAAACCCCGACATGCCCACCAAGCGCGGGGCGCCCACGAGGCGGCAACGTGGCGCAAACCCGACAACACCCCCAAGCGCGGGGCGCCCACGAGGCGGCACGGGCGACAACGCGGCGGAAACTCGACATGCGCATCCAATCCACTGAAAAAGCCAAGTGCGAACCCCGAAGTGCGAGCACTGCTTGGGGAAGAAGCCTAAACCAACAATCTCCCAACCCAAACTAGAATCAGCAGCCAGGATGTATTATGCACTTCCCCAGTTGCTCAAATCGCTCCCACCCGACAGGTTGGGGATGTTATACTTGAATATAACAGCTCCCGCCCCGTCTCGCACACCCTGCATACCGTGGCCGTCATGTCTCCTTCGCTTCCTCCTCCGCCTCCTCCTCCTCTTCCTCCTCCTCGTCCTCGTCCACGTCCTCCTCCCCTTCTTCCCCTCCTCCTCCTCCTCCTCCTTCTCCTCCTCCTCTTCCTCCTCGTCCTCGTCCTCGTCCTCCTCCTCCTTCTCCTCCTCCTCCTCCTCCTCCTCCTCCTCCTCCTCCTCCCCTCCTCCTCCTCCTCCCTCCTCCTCCCTCCTCCTCCTCTCCTCCTCCTCCCCCTCCTCCTCCCCCTCCTCCTCATCCTCTGCCTCCTCCATCTCCTCTCCTTCTCCTCCTTCTCCTCCTGCACCTCCTCGTCCTCGTCCTCGTCCTCGTCCTCGTCCTCGTCCTCGTCCTCGTCCTCCTCGTCCTCCTCGTCCTCCTCGTCCTCCTCGTCCTCCTCGTCCTCCTCGTCCTCGTCCTCCTCCTCCTCCTCCTCCTCCTCCTCCTCCTCCTCCTCCTCCTCCTCCCCCGCCACTTCATCCTCCTCCAACGGGCTATCCTGCATCACTCTCATCTGCTCGCTCCAGTCGGTGCTCTTCGCCTGGGGTTCCCCCGGCGCCGGGAGGAGGAGAGGAAGGACGAGGATGAGGATACTGATGATGCTGATGATGCTGATGATGCTGGTGAGGACGATGACGATGACGATGGCGATGACGATGGCGATGGCAATGGCAATGGCGACGGTGATGATGGTAATGATGGTGATGGTGATGGTGATGGTGATGGTGATGGTGATGGTGATGGTGATGGTGATGGTGATGATGCTGGTGCTGGTGCTGGTGCTGATGCTGATGCTGATGCTGATGATGATGATGCTGCTGCTGATGATGATGATGACGATGATGATGATGATGATGATGATGATGATGATGATGATGATGATGATGATGATGATGGGAATGATGGTGCTAAGGGCGATGGTGATGACGACGACGATGATGATGATGCTGATGCTGGGCGATGGTGATGATGACAACGATGACGATGATGATGCTGATGATGATGATGCTGATGGGAATGATGGTGCTAAGGGCGATGCTGATGACGACGATTATGATTGTGACGATGATGAATAAGCAACAATATTACTATAAACATGATGTTGTCAATGCTGCTGGTGATGATAAACGTGATGATACTGGTGCTGCTGCTGATGATGAGTATGATGGCAATAATGATGGTGCTAATGTTGTTGATGATGATGGTGATGCTAATACTGCTGATGGTGACGATGAACATGACGATGATGATGGTGATGGTGATGGTGATGACGCTGACAATGATGATGATAATGATGATGATGATGATGATGGTGATGATGATGATGATGATGATGATGATTATGATGATGGTAATAATCTGGTCCTAACAATAACAACATTCTGATGGATGCGATCACAAACACAAATAATAATAGCACGCCAGAAGACGACTAATAATAACAACCTAATAAAGATGAGTGTGATGATGACGCTGCTGCTGATGATGATGTACGTGATGATGATGATGACAATGATGATGATGCTGATGATGATGATGATGATGATGATGATGCTGTTGAACATGATGGTGATGCTGATTATGATCATCATTATTAGTATGATGATGGTGGTGATGATGCTGCTGCTGATGGATATGATGATGACGATGACCACGGTGGTCATGATGATCATGATGATGGTGATGATGATGACGATGATGGAGATGGTGCTGGTGGTATTGAGGAAGAGGATGAGCAGGAGGAGGAGAAGGAGGAGGAAGAGGAGGAAGAGGAGGAGCAGGAGGGAGGGGGAAGAGGAGGAGGAGGAGGAGGAGGACGAGGAGAATGAGAAGGAGCAGCAGCAACAAGGGGAGCGTGGTACACTTGCCAGGAAACGGGCGCGCAGCTGAGCTATGGCCGAAAGGCGAAGAATGCGACAACAGGGTTGAAGCCCCCACGCTGTCCATCACTGTCTCGGCCGCGATCACCAGCGAGGTCATCGATAGGGGCCGCGGAGATGTGCGAGAGCCTCCTCACGCACAGCTGCGAGAAGGCCGCCCAGCAGCAACGCCATGCCCAGATAGGGGGAGCCACTGGGGGGTGGTCGCCACCTCCTGCCTAGGAGGGGGACGAAAAATCCCCCAGGACGCCCCCCCCACACTCCCGCGCAGAACCGCGCAGAAGACCCAAAGACGTAGAAACGTCCCCTCGATCCTCGATCCCCCCCTCCTCTTCGATACTCGACCCTCGCGAGGAGGCGGCGACTCCCCCGGCGGCGACCCCCCTGGCTCTTGAGAGGCAACGCTGGGGGGCTGACTCGGATGAGGGGGTGGGGGGAGAGCATCGACCTGGAATCGGCGCTGCACCGCCGATAGATCGGCGACAGGCCCTCCATAGCGGGGCCGCGCGTTCCTGGCCGGGGCGGGCTATCCTAATGGGCGATCGAGATGGCTTTCTGGAAGGAAAATGGTTGCGTGGGGGGGCAGAGGCCCGATGAATCGGGTTACCACAAGGCCTTCTGGGCACATGGATTTTGGGGGCGTCTTGGGGAGCCTGTTGGGGCGGTCGATGCAACCCCCCCTGAGCCCATCCCGGCCGTTCGGGGGGCTCCCGGCCGGGCGCCCCTGGGGCGCTCTCGGCGAGGAGCAGCTGCTGGAGAGAGCACCCCGAGGCTGGAGAACACCGCCGAGGACCCACGGAAACGCCCGAGGACCTCGAATTCAATCCGACCACCCCCCCTGACAGTGCCCCTGACCGCCGACGACGACGACGACGACGACGACGACGACGACGACGACGACGACGACGACGACGACGACGACGACGACGACGACGACATGGCGACCGCGAGCACCCGCCACCGAACGCCTGGGCGAAGGCGCACGCCGGCGGGGCGCACAGTCTCCGACGGCACGTCGGCGGAAACGACCGCGCTGAGAGGCCGCACCGCCGCGCCGCCGCCGCAGGCCCCGGGGCTCAGCACAGGGGGGGGCGCCCTCTCCCGGAGCGCCCGCGGGGAGGAGACGGCGAGGCAAGACCTCCTCCTCCTCCTCCTCCTCCTCCTCCTCCTCCGCCTCCTCCGCCTCCTCCTCCTCCTTCCCCTTCTCTTCCTCCTCCTCCTCCGCCTCCCCCTCCGCCTTCTCCTCTGCCTCCTCCTCCACCTCCTCCTTTTCGAGGCGGGGAGGCGATGTCAGCGTTTTCTTACTCGGCGTTTCGACAGTGGACGGAAGGGTGGGGGGTCTGGTTCTGGACCTCTGCTTCATGCGCCTGTTTGGAACCGTTACATCAGAGGCCCGACCACAAGAGACGCTCCACAAGAAACCCAACCCTGAGACCCCAGGACGTCCACTAATCTTTGGTGTGGGAGCGTCAAGCTTTCCATCGCAAAGCCATCGAAACCCGAGAAACCCAGGCGAACGTTCTTTATTCGGCGTTTCCACATTGCGCGGAAGGGGGGGGTCTGGCTCCGGACCTCTGCTTCATGCGCCTGTTGGAACCGTGCGTCCGATGGGGGAGACTCTACCTGCTCGAAACAGGCGCCCAAACCAGCCAAGATCTACTCCATGGGGGTGTGGGGCCCGGGGAGGGGTGCGAGGGCCCGCGCCGATCGGCAAAAAATGAATGAGAAAACGATTGCCTGTTGTTTGAAATCGTCTGCGATAACGCCCGCGACCGGCCCCGCCCCTCCCCCCCCCGTTCTCCGCACCCCCTGGTCACGTCACGATTCGAGCCCGCGCCGCGCCCCCCCCCCTCCCCGCCCCCAAGTCACGCCCGCTATCGTTAGGGGAGAAAAAGAACGGTCTCAAGGGGGGAGGCACGAGGCAAGAGGCAGCTCCCAGTTCTCCCAAGAGGGTGGCCGCGCGCGGGGGCCCCTCGGCGATAGAGGAACCCAAAACCGCATGAGCATAAACTTTAGGAGGTCCGCGTGGATTTCTTGCATCGGCGCCCGGAGCGCGCCAGGGGCGGCGCCAGAGGCGCCGCCGGGGGGGGGGGCCCACCCTGACTCTGGATCTGCCCAAGTTTGGGCGATTTCGCAAGCTGGGCGGAAAGATGCGCCCTACTTTGCAAGCTCCTGTGATGCAGATTTCCGCCCCACGTGCTTTGCCGTCGCTGTTTTCGCAAGACTTCTGCGGAAATGGGCGCCCTAATTTTCTGAGGCGTCGATTTCCGCCCCGCCCCGCTGCTTCGCGTGCCTGGGGATGCATTTCCAAAACTACGGCCGGACCCAGGACAGAAGAGCATCCTTCAAGAGCGTGATAATCTCCGCCGGCCAAACCACCCCACACCATCAGATCACTCGAGGGTGCACAAGAACATCCTATTGACACGAGAACCATTTAGGTACCCTCCCTGAGCCGACTTCGATCTTGTATCAGAAAAAAACTGCATAAACAGAAACTTTCGCCGGTCCGCACGAATTTCTTGGATCCGCACTGGACCCCCATCCCTGGCGCGCGGAGCGCGCCAAGGGCGGCGCCAGAGGCGTCGCCGCGGGGGCCCTGGCGCAGACCCAAAAAATCCGCGCAGACAGTCAATCATTTATGTGTTACGCCGTTTCTTCTCCTGCGATATACCTCGCCCGGTCCGGCCAAAATGATGCTGGCTGCGTCTTCTTCGAGGCGAGAAGGCTGAGGTCGGGCAAGCCCCCCTACAAGCCGATTTCGGAGGAAAAACTGAAAAAAAATAACAAACAAATAGTCTAGCATAGTCGAAACATCGCCCCCAGACTATTATGTCAACTAACTTTGAACTGTCCTCCTGTATCGGATGCCTGCAAGGATGGATTGGCGATCAAAGGGACTTGGCGAGCGGTCGCCAAATCCATGGATCGGGGGAAGTGCCCTCCCCAAAGTGCGGCTGGTGCCGCCTCACTTGGCGGCGGAAATCCGCGATTTCCCATGGAAACGGGTCCCGTCGCTAATCCAAGCCCCCTCGATCCATGTTTGCGATCGCCAGACTGTAGAGGCACATGCCCGACTTAAGAGAGGAGTAGGAGGAAGAGGAGGAGGAGGAGGAGAAGGAGGAGGAGGAGGAGGGGGAGGAGGAGGAGGAGAAGGAGCAGGAGGAGGAGGACGAGGAGCAGGAGGGGGAGGAAGAAGAGCAGGAGGAGGAGGCGGAGGAGGAGGAGGAGGAGGGGGAGAAGGAGAAGGACGACGAGGAAGGAGGCGGAGGAGGAATGAATGAGTGGCACCTCGACCGCAGTCTTCCCTGCGCGCGCGCCAGCTTTTAGTTCTGGGTGGAGGGGAAATGTCCATGAATTGTTTCTTTCGACCATTCCGAGGAGGACGAGGAGGAAGAGGAGGAGGAGGAGGAGGAGGAGGAGGAGGAGGAGGACCGGCACGGGAGCGGCGCGGGGCACGCCCGGCGGCTGGCCTTCTCGAGCCCCTCGCTCAGGTTCTGGCGCGCCTGCTCGGCCGCCTCCTCCGCCTGAGGCGCGCGGGGGGCCTGGACGCAAAGGCCAAGCTAATCCAGATGAGCTGCCTCATCCTCCTCCTCCTCCTCCGCCTCCTCCTCCGCCTCCTCTCCTCCTCCGCCTCCTCCTCCGCCTCCTCCTCCGCCTCTCCCCTCCTCCTCCTCCTCCCTCCTCCTCCTCCTCCTCCCTCCGGCCTCCTCCTCCGCCTCCTCCTCCGCCTCCCCTCCTCCTCCTCCTCTCCTCCTCCTCCCCTCCCCTCCCCCTCCTCCCCTCCTGCTCCTCCTCCTCCCTCCTCTCCTCCTCCTCCTCCTCCTCCTCCTCCTCCGCCTCCTCCTCCTCCTCCTCCTCCTCCTCCTCCTCCTCCTCCTCCCCCCTTGGCACGCGGGGGGGCGCACCTGCCGCCGCGCGCGGTCGAGCGCCCCGCGGGCCCAGGAGGCCCACTGCGGCTCCCCGTCGCCCCGCTCCAGGTCTGAGCTGCCTGGCGCCCCCGCACTCCCGCAGCTCGGCGGCGACGACGGCGACGACGACGACGACGGCTAACGACGACGGACGACGAGGAGGAGGACGAGGACGAGGAGGAGGAGGAGGACGAGGACGACGGACGACGACGGACGGACGACGACGACGACGACGACGACGACGACGACGAGGGAGGAGGGAAGACGACGACGACGACGGCGACGACGACGACGACGGCGACGGCGACGGCGACGGAGACGGAGACGGCGACGGCGACGACAACGGACGCCACCGCCGCCGCTGCCGCCGCTGCCGCCGCCGCCGAAGACGACGACGACTACGACGACGACGATGATGATGATGATGACGACGACGGATGACGGACGACGAACAACGAACGACCGAGGACCGAGGACCGAGTACCGACGACAAAGGACGAGGACGAGGACGACCGGCGGCGACGGCGACAACGACCAGCGGGGTGCTGGATGCTGGAAGTGGCCTGCCTCGCAAAAGGCAGGTCCGAGAAGAAACTGGGAGAAGGGGGGGCGATTCCCTCTTCCCCCCGCACGACGACAACGATGACGGACGAGACGACGGCGGCGGCGACAGCGGCGGCGGTGACGACGACGACGACGACGACGACGACTGACGCGTCGTTGTCGGCGTTTGCTGGCGCGAGTGAGGGGGGGGAGGGCGGGTTATGGTGACCCCCTGGCGGCGGGCGGGGCGGGATCAGGGCAGGGATGGGGGCGGGGGGGGACGAGGGGGAGGCGGACGGGTGGATCGACCTGGGGTCCTCACGACAGGGCCCGCCGGAAGTGTGCCAGAGAGAGAGAGAGTGATAAAGATGGTCCCATCCTCCGTAGTTTGCACGAAGTATTTCGTTGAGCGGTGCTTGGCTGCTCGAAGCACTGGAGACTCGCCTGGCCCGTCTTGCATGGCTCCTCGTGGGACCTTCTGTGGGGCACCTTGACCCCTCCTTGGGGCCTCCCGGGTCGTCTTGGGGCTCTCTTGGTGACCTCTTGGGCCGTCTTGGGCCGGGGGACCTCTTCGGGCGTCCTTGGACAGAGGCGAGAAAGCGAAAATCCTTGCACAATTGACTGAGTTCTGCTATCGGAGTGGTTAAATTTGGTCGCGGGCTCATGCGGGCAATGAAGAAGCAAGAACATAAAAAGACGAACAATGAGGCATACAGCTGTGCCTCGCATTTCCGACTCCTCCCCATCAGTCCCCTCCGCTCCTCGCAGCTCACTCCTCCTCCCCTTGCTCCTCAACTTCATGATCCTCTGGGCTCTTTCTCTCCTCGCCCGGACGCCTTGCTCGACTCCGCTGGTCGCCCTCATCATTCGCAGCTCCCTCTTACGCATCATCCTCTTGATCAAGAGAACTGCGATCTTGCCATATCCCCAAACGCGAGGAGGGAGGAGGAACGAGGAGAGAGGAGGAGGAGGACGAGGACGAGGAGGAGAGAGGACGAGGACGAGGGAGGGGGGGGGAGGAGGAGAGAGGAGGAGGAGGAGAGGAGGAGGAGGAGGAGGAGGAGGCAGGAGGCAGAGGAGGAGGAGAGAGGAGGAGGAGGAGGAGGAGAGAGGAGGGAGGAGAGAGGGGAGGAGGAGGGAGGAGGGAGGAGGATGAGGAGGAGGAGAGGAGGAGAGTAGGAGGAGGGAGTAGGAGGGAGGAGGAGGAGGAGAGGAGGAGGGCGGCGGCGGCGGGCGGGGCGGGCGGGCGGGCGGGGAGGAGGGCGGGCGGGGGGAGGGAGGGAGGGAGGGAGGGAGGGAGGAGGGCCGCGCCCCCCCCCGCCCCCTGGCCGCCGCAGGCTTGCCTGCGGGCGGGGACGCGCTCGTCGCGAGCGGCACCGTCAGGCCATCCGACTGCGGCACGGCCTGCGGCACGGCCTCGGCAGCAGCGCCGTCTGCGCGGCCCCGGCTGGCCACGTCACGGCCACACCCACTCGCGCTGCGGAGCAAAAACCACGGCGGACATCTGTTGTGTGCTGTTGCTTCTTTCGGCCTCTGAGGGTCCTCGCCGGGCACCAGGACCGTGCAGAAACTATATTCAGGATGAGAGGCCAGTCCCAGGAAGTGGGTCGAGAGCTCTGGGGGTCCGCTCAGTAAAAACACAATGACGTCGGGGGTCTGGGCACGGAGCGGGGGGAGGATACAGTGGAAGGACAAAGTATCGCAAGTTCTTTGGGCGTTCTGAGAAACAGCGTGCCACCTTGGATCAGATTTCATCGATCTCTGAGGAACTCCTTCCCCACATTTCAATGCTGACTTGCATTATTTTGTCCACCGGGACTTGGGGTGCTCGCTTCCAACCAATATTCAAATGCAGGTGGCGGGGATTGTGCGTCGAAGTGGCGTCGCTATGCAGGTGCAGCCGCAAGCGGTCAAGAATCAATTGCAAAGTTTCGTCTTCCCACCGGAAGGGAGCAGATGGGAGGATAGAAGAAAAATTGCTTAAACGTCAACGTTCGACAGCCCTCGTGGATCTCTTGGACCTGCGCGGGACCCCCCTCCCTCTCGCTGGCGGGCGGAGCGCGCAAGGGGCGGCGCCAGAGGCGCCGCCAAGGGGGCCCGAACGCCAATTCGAGAAATCCGCGCGGAGCCCCGGAAGTTTATGTTCATGCCGATTTCTCTTCTTCGTGAGAAGGCGGAGGAGGAGGAGGAGGAGGAGGAGGAGGAGGAGGAGGAGGAGGAGGAGGAGAAGAGAGGAAAGGGAAGGAGGGACGCGCTCGGCCGTGGAATCCTGCGGTCCCGCCGCACTGTGCGGCTGCTCCAGGCCGCAGCCCGCGACTGCCCTGAGTGCCATACTCCGCCACGAAGCGCCCCTGCCCGCATGCGGCACCGGCCCGTATGCGCTCCAGCGCACTGGCACCTCGCGCACTCGGCGGGGTGCGGACCTCACTAAAGCCGTCGCGCTTCGACTTCGCCACCTCGCCGCAGACCACACGTGCCACGACCGCCATGGCCCAATGTCGCGCTGCATCAGGCGATCACCCGTGCAGGCATTCCAAAAGAGGCATGAGCGACCTTGCTCCTCTCCTTCGGACCACGATGGGCATCGGCTGTCATCGGAACCGCTCTGATGGGCAATTCGCCTTTTCGGTTCCAGTCGGCAGCAGCGCAACCATCGACCCGAGCCTCAATCTCCGCGCAGGCGGTGAGCTACATCCCTTCTCGACGCAAGTTTTTCCAGCGACATGGCGACGCCCCTGGGACGCCAATTTCACTGTTGACGCCGATGCTGGCGACTGCAAGTTTTTTTGCTGACCCCGCGGGCCGCGCTGCGCGCGTCCATCATAACTGAAATTTGGGGGGCGAGGGTGTAAGCTAAACAACTTGCGTTTCATTTCGAGGGGGGTTGTAGGCGAGCCTCCTGCCCCCTGCGCTCCACGAGGACCACGGGCGTCCTACTCGCCTCGACCCTCTCACCGCCTCGGCCGCCTCGGGCACGCGTCCCCGTGGCAGCCCAAAGCGCGCTGACCCGCGCTGGCAACGCCCTCCGCGAGCAGGGTGGCCGCCTGCACTTGCCAGCGCTCGGGGAGCAGGAGGAGGAGGAGGGGGAGGAGGAGGAGGAGGGCGAGGAGGAGGAGGAGGAGGAGGAGGAGGAGGAGAAGAGGCGGAGGAGGAGGAGGAGAAGAGGAGGGGAAGGAGGAGGAGGAGGAGAAGCAGGAGGAGGGGGAAGATACGACGCTGCAGGGAGAACGTCGCGCAAGGAGGAGGAGGAAGAGGAGGAGGAGGAGGAGGAGGAGAAGGAAAAAGGATGGAGGATGGAGGAGGATGCCCATTCCGCGTGCCTCCTTCCATGTCGCGCGTGTTGTTTTCTGGTGCGATGAATCAAAAGGATGCTCCTCTGTGGTCCTCGCGGAGATTTAACAGAAATGCGCACGTCCGAGCGACGCCAGGCTGCCCGTGCTGGCGGCCCTCCAGCGGTTGCTCCGCTGCGCGCCGCGGCCGGGCTGGGCGGCAGCGGCGTGGCGCGGCGTGCGCCCGCCCGCCCTCGCGAGGAGGTGCGACCCGCTGGCGCCCGCTCGTCGCCGCCGCCCGAGACTCCGCCTCCTCCTCCTCCTCCTCCGCCTCCTCCTCCGCCTCCTCCTCCGCCTCCTCCTCCGCCTTCCTCCTCCGCCTCCTCCTCTCCTCCGCCTCCTCCTCCTCCCCCTCTTCTCCTCCTCCCATCTCCCTCCTCCTCCTCCTCCTCCTCCTCCTCCTCCTCCTCCTCCCATTCCTCCTCCTCCTCCTCCTCCTCCTCCTCCTCCTCCTCCGCCTCCTCCTTCCATTCTCCTCCTCCTCCTCCGCCGCCGCCGCCGACGCATCCGCCGAGGCCGTCGGTCCTTTCCCGGAGCCCGCGCCAGAGGTGCCCACCCCCCCACGCGCAGCCGCAGCTGCTGGCCCGCCAGGGGCCGTGCCCGCGAGGCCGAGGAGAACTCTCTGTTGCAAATCCAGGGGAACGAACAATGACATAAACATAATAACTCGGAGGTCAACGCGGATTTCTCGGATCGGTGCTAGACCCCCCTGGCGGCACCTTGGGCACCGCGCTCCGCGCGCCAGTGAGGGGGGTCCAGCGCCGATCCGAGAAATCCGCGCGGACCTCCGAGTTGTTATGTTTATGTTTTTCTTCGTTTCCCTTATATCATGGGAGCCTCCCGTACCATCTTGCTGGCCGACGCTGATCGACGCTAAATCGACGCTAAATCGACGCTACATCGACGCTACATCGACGCTCATTGACGTTAACCGGCGCTAGCTCGACGCTATCTTATCAACTCCCTGACGCTAATCGACACTCATCGACGCTGACGGAATTGAGAGGGTAGACCTAGCCCCCATGCTTTGCTACCGGCAGAACGGACTTGGGGTCGATCGCCATCGGGACTGGCGGCACCGCGAGGCGCCCGGGCGCCAGTCTCTCGGGCAACTCCTAGGCGTTCACGTCCACGTGCGGCGCCACCGGCGTGCCCGAGGTCCCCGTGAGCCAGCTCCTGGAGTCCTCGCGCAGCGCCGCCACGGCCCGGACGACGCTGGCGCACTGCTCGAAGTTGCCCCTCGTGGGCGGCGCTGCCGAGGCACGCCCCCGTGCTCGCCGTGCCGCCGGCAGAGCGCATCGGGGCAGGCAGGCTGCGGGGACGGCCCTGCCAACTGGCGGTGGACGCAGCAGCCGCTCCCGCAAAAAGAGCACAGAGCACGGCACGAACGGAGCGTCACGAGAGGCGAGCATGCCAACGCTACACAGACAGAGGCCTCCTGAATGGGGTCCGAGTAGTTAGATGGGATCGGAGGATCGTGCCGCATCGCCAATGCATCGCCGATGCACCGGCGATGCTTCGGCGTGGAGAAACTCGGGCTCCGCATGGAGCCGCATCGCCGATGCATCGGCTCTGCGGCGCGATCCTCCAAACCCATATCGACTCGGACCCACTGGGGAGGCCGGGAGGCCTGGAGCATAGAAGAGCCTGCCCGCTCGCGCGGCGCCTGCACGCGGCCAGGCAGCAGGGAGGAGGAGGAGGAGGAGGAGGAGGAGGAGGAGGAGGAGGAGGAGGAGGAGCTCGCCGCCCCGAGCCCAGGGCACCCGCACCTGCCCGTGCGGAGGGCGCGTGCGCCGCATTCCCCGCAGCGGGAGAGGCACGCGCCGCTCTGCTCCCGGGCTGCTGTCGGCTCTCTCCACGCCGCCGCCGCCGCCGCCGCCGCGGAGGGCGGAGGGTGCGAGAAGGCAGGCGTGAGAAGGAGGAGTGGCAGAGAGGGAGGGGGTAGGGAAGAGGAGGACTGGGGAGGAGAGGAGGAAGAGATGACAAAGAGAAGGCGATCCGGTCACGGCTGCAATCAGCGCTGCGGCTGCCGCGATAATCGCGTGATATTCAGTCACTGCGACCTCCCACTCCTCTTCCTCCTGCCCTTTTTACATTGCCCAGGCGTTGCATACAGAGATATGCGTTGCGTCACTCCTCCACCTCCTCCTCCTCCTCCTCCTCCTCCTCCTCATCTACCCCCTCTCTTCACGTAGCCCAGAAATTGCATGCGGATGCGTTGCGTTAATCCTCCTCCTCCTCCTCCTCCTCCTCCTCCTCCTCCTCGACTCCCCTCCTCTACCCTCTACCCTCTACCCCCTCTTCTCACTGGATCGGCAATCGCGTGGTCGGCATCGGCCTTCGCCCGGGTGGGCTGACTGAGCACTTCGCAGCACGGGCGCGCCGCACGATGGAGTAAAACTTGCTCTGGATGCTGTCGCCATCCTGCCGACACTCGTCTTGCATCTTGCGCCCACTCAAAAGATTGTCGATGTGTCGCACCACGCGATGCTGAGATCTGCTACGTGCGGTAATCCGGATCCGAATTCTGTTATCGCTGCCCACATGTTCATTGATAGACGCCTCGTACAAACAGGGCCTCAAACTTCACGCGTTGCCCTGACGCGCCCGTGGATCACAGAGTGCTGAGGGGCGCACCGGTTTCGATCACCGACGCCCCATCATGCTCAGCGTCTCTGTTTTTGCCTATTCGACCGGCGAACTACATGGACGTACACTTTCCGAGGACCGCGCGGATTTCCTGGGTCAATGCAGTAGTAGCTCGACCACAAGAAACCTTCCACAAGAGACCCAACCCTGAGGCCCCAGGACGTGGATAGCTTCTTGGTGTGGGACGCTCACGCTTTCCATCGCAAAACCCTCGAAGCACAAGAAACCCAGGGCACCCTGGAGGCAAGCAGCGTGTTTCTTGGCATGGGTTTTCACTGCACTGGGCCCCCCGAAAACCCGACCCTGCCGCGCGGGGCGGCGCTGGAGGCGCCGCCAAGGGGAGTGCGAAGGGGGGCGCGGCGCCGACACAAGAAAAATCCTCGCGGACCTCCGAAAGTGTCTGTTCAGGCCTACTCCTCCTCCTCCTCCTCCTCCTCCTCCTCCTCCTCCTCCTCCGCCTCCGCCTCCTCCGCCTCCTCCTCCTCCTTTCCTCCTTCCTCCTCCTTCCTTTCCTCCTCCTCCCTTTCCTCCTTTCCTCCTCCTCCTCCTCCTTTTCCAGACCTCCTCCTCCTCCTCCTGACCGTAGGCCTCGCAAGAGGCCAGGTGCCTCCTAGACGGGGTCGAAGTAGATGGGGTCGGAGGATGGTACCGCATCGCCGATGCATCGCCGATGCATCGGCGATGCATTGGCGATGCACCAGCGACGCTGGCGATGTATCGGCGACGTCGGCGTGAAGCAAATCGGGCTCCGCATCGAGCCGCATCGTCGATGCATCGGCGATGCGGCGCGATCCTCCGACCCCATCTACTCCGACCCCATCTACAAACCTCGTCAAAATTAACTTTCAACATGTCTTACGTGTGGCTGAACTGTCTGTGGGGAGATACTGGACAGAGTAGCGATGACTGCGAGGTACTTGCATGCGCCCCCTCTCCATGTCGATCATCATCGAACTTCCGAGTCGTTCCCGGTCAGACCACCTCTGCCCTGGCCCCGACATTGGAGGGGCGTCCATCGACTTTCAAGGGCGCGCCGACATCGCAGGGGCGTGTTCGCCATTTTTGACGTCCATTTTGACGAGGGTAATATTAGGAGGAGGCCCAGGCTCCCCCTCCCACGCCTCCGACTTCCCCCTGCTCCCGCCCTAGACCCCACGCACCTGGCCCCGGGCCCCGCCCCCGGGCCCAGGACCTCCGGTCGGGGATCTCCCCAGAGATCCAACGCACTGACAAAATGTCAAGACGGAGGTGTTCCGCAACTTTCGGCCTCCAAGGGCCCTCGCCGGGCCCCGGGACCGTCCAAAATTCATTCGGGATGAAAACCAAGTCCTGAGGAATCAGTCGAGACGCCCAGGGATCCCGCACTGAAAAAATCACGACATCGGATCTTTGGGGTTAGGTCGGGTATGTCCCCCTCCAGGCGGATGTTGGACGAAAGGCTAAAAATACCCAAAACATACACCAACATAGGCAACATCATACATATTTATATATATAGGTGTGTCACCAACATATTTTTTTACTATTTTTGAATTTTCCCCCTGTAGAGGGACAGGCCCGACTTAACTCTGGGAATATCTCTGAGATCCAGCGGCTGTCTGGGGGAGGAGGTGCTCGGGCGTCGCGGCCGCTCCAAGGCGCTCGAACAAAAAACGCGCGCTGCTGAAGCGCTCTCTGGGGCGCTCTCTGGAGCGAAGTGTATCCCCGCCATCCTGGCCCCGCCCTTCCAATGATCGCTCCCTCTCCTCCTCCTCCTCCTCCTCCTCCTCCTCCTCCTCCTCCTCCTCCTCCTCCTCCCCCCAGTGATCGCCCCCCCACCCACCCCCACCCCCACCACACACCAAGCAACGCCCCGAGCTCCTCCTCCCGCACCGTCCCCCTCGAGGCTCGAATCTAGAAGTCACTCTTTGACATGAACTAGAGCCAGGCATGAAAAAGTTGCGCATCCAAAGCTTGAGAGTTCTTTGGTTTCATCGGGCCCCGCCGCAGTCTGGTCGACTCACCTTTTGGAGGCCTGGCGAGGGGCACCAACACCAACACAGGGGGTTGCTTGCAAAGGGAGAAGATGATCCTAGCTTTCGGTGTTGGTGGTAATATTCAAAGGTCACTTGGAAGCAAGAATATTACCACCATCACTGAGATCGGGATATTCTTCCCTCGGTGGAGGCACACCGCCGGTATTGGTGTTGGTGCCAACCTCTAGGCCTGCGAACCTTGCACCTTGCACGCAGCACTATTCTGCATGTGATTTCCCAGGCCTCCTACATGTATCTACTTGGCGCACCCTGCCACTGCGCCGGCTGAGCGCGCGGCCTTCCCCTGACCCGGCCCCGCCCGACTTACACCCTGGGCCCCGCCCCCGCCCTGAGATCCGACCTTGCGACAAAAGTTGCACAGCGCGAAAAAAAACATGACCGGAGCCCGGGGCCTGCACGGTTTCCCCCGGGTCCGTAGGCGACCCGAGGAGGAAGAGAGGGAGGAGGTGGAGGAGGAGAAGGGGGAGGGGGATGGGGAGGGGGAGGAGGAGGAGGAGGAGGAGGAGGAGGAGGAGGAGGAGGAGGAGGAGGAGGAGGAGGAGGAGAGGGAGGAGGGAGAAAGGACGAGGAGGAACGAGGAGGGAGAGGAGGAGGAGGAGGAGGAGGAGGAGGAGGGAGGGAGGAGGGGGAGGAGAGGAGGAGGAGGAGGAGGAGGAGAGAGGAGGAGGAGGAGGACGGGTCGCTTAAGCCTTTCGGAGAAACCCTCCACCCTGGACCCCATCGCTCTGCGCCATGTTCCGGGCCGCATCGACCTGTGAGGGTCCGGTGGCCCGAGGCCGGGCGCAAACGGCCAGCGCGAGAAAACGGCAACGCCCAGCTCTCGGGATGCCCCCCCCCCGATGGCTTGGCTCTCGGGCCACAGCTCGGGCCTCCGGCGGCCGTTCGGTACCATGCGGGCACCCCCGGGACGCCCTCGGCGAAGCGCAGCTGCTGGAGAGCATCCCGAGGCAAAGAAACGTCCAGGAACCAACGAACCCAAAGATCCGATGTCGTGATTTTTGCAATGCGGGGTCCCCGGAAGTCTCGACCGATTCCCCAAGAAGGGTTTCCATCCTGAATCGCTTTTTGACGGTCCCAGGGCCCGGCGAGGGCACCTGGAAGACGAAAATTGTGAAACACCTCCGTCTTGATCTTTACAATGCGTTGGATCTCCGGGCACACGTTCGAGAACCTCGCGCCTCGGATGGGGAAATCAAAAAATACCAATCCGCTACTCCCTGGACTTCTCCTGGGGCACGTTCTGACCAGAATTTCGAGGCGAATCCAGCAGTGGCGACGAGGGCCGCCCAGAAGGCCCAAAAAAGGGGAAACCACGGAAGGGTAGAGGTATGGGTACCTTTTTCTCCTCTGAGCTTTAGGCACTTAATTTTGTCTGCGCACGCATCAACCGTGGCAAAACACATGCGCCGCGGGCACGTCGAGAAGGGGGGTGGAGGAGGAGGAGAAGGAGGAGGAGGAGGAGGAGGAGGAGGAGGAGGA